GATCTGCTGCAAACAGAGCTAATGAACAGTGGTCTAGAAAACCACACACTTACCTGCAAACAGAGGTAATGACCAGCGTTCTGGTGAACCACACACTTACCTCCAAAAAAAGCTAATGAACAGTGGTCAGGAGCACTACATACTTACCTGCAAACAGAGCTAATGATCAGCGATCGAGAGCACCACATACTTGCCTGCAAATAGAGCTAATGATCAGCGATCTGGAGCACCACACACTTACCCGCAAACAGAGCTAATGAACAGCGGTCTAAAAAAAGAGCTATAGAACAGTGGTCTGAAGCACCACACACTTACCTGCAAACAGAGCTAATGAACAGTGGTCTGGAGCACCACATACTTACCTGCAAACAGAGCTAATGAACAGTGGTCTAAAAAAAGAGCTATAGAACAGTGGTCTGAAGCACCACACACTTACCTGCAAACAGAGCTAATGAACAGTGGTCTGGAGCACCACATACTTACCTGCAAACAGAGCTAATGAACAGTGGTCTGGAGCACCACATACTTACCTACAAACAGAGCTAATGATCAGCAATCTGGAGCACCACATAAATACCTGCAAACAGAGCTAATGAACAGCGATCTGGAGCACCACATACTTACCTGCAAACAGAGCTAATGAACAGCGATCTGGAGCACCACATACTTACCTGCAAACAGAGCTAATGAACAGCGATCTGGAGCACCTCATACTTACCTGCAAACAGAGCTACTGATCAATGGTCTGAAGCACCACACACTTACCTGCAAACAGAGCTAATGAACAGCGATCTGGAGCACCACATACTTACCTGCAAACAGAGCTAATGATCAGCGATCTTAAGTACCACACACTTACCTGCAAACAGAGCTAATGAACAGTGGTCTTAAGCAACACATACTTACCTGCAAACAGAGCGAATGAACAGTAGACTGGAGCACCGCACACATACTTGCAAACAAAGCTGATGAACAGTGGTTTGGAGCACAACACACTTACCCGCAAACAGAGCTAATGAACAGCGGTCTGGAGAACCACATACTTACCTGCAAACAGAGCTAATGATCAGCGATCTGGAGCACCACATACTGACCTGCAAACAGAGCATATGAACAGTGGGTTGGAGAACCACACACTTACCTGCAAACAGAGCTAATGAACAGCGATCTGCTGCAAACAGAGCTAATGAACAGTGGTCTAGAAAACCACACACTTACCTGCAAACAGAGGTAATGACCAGCGTTCTGGTGAACCACACACTTACCTCCAAAAAAAGCTAATGAACAGTGGTCAGGAGCACTACATACTTACCTGCAAACAGAGCTAATGATCAGCGATCGAGAGCACCACATACTTGCCTGCAAATAGAGCTAATGATCAGCGATCTGGAGCACCACACACTTACCCGCAAACAGAGCTAATGAACAGCGGTCTAAAAAAAGAGCTATAGAACAGTGGTCTGAAGCACCACACACTTACCTGCAAACAGAGCTAATGAACAGTGGTCTGGAGCACCACATACTTACCTGCAAACAGAGCTAATGAACAGTGGTCTGGAGCACCACATACTTACCTACAAACAGAGCTAATGATCAGCAATCTGGAGCACCACATAAATACCTGCAAACAGAGCTAATGAACAGCGATCTGGAGCACCACATACTTACCTGCAAACAGAGCTAATGAACAGCGATCTGGAGCACCACATACTTACCTGCAAACAGAGCTAATGAACAGCGATCTGGAGCACCTCATACTTACCTGCAAACAGAGCTACTGATCAATGGTCTGAAGCACCACACACTTACCTGCAAACAGAGCTAATTAACAGTGGTCTGGAGCACCACATACTTACCTGCAAACAGAGCTAATGATCAGCGATCTTAAGTACCACACACTTACCTGCAAACAGAGCTAATGAACAGTGGTCTTAAGCAACACATACTTACCTGCAAACAGAGCGAATGAACAGTAGACTGGAGCACCGCACACATACTTGCAAACAAAGCTGATGAACAGTGGTTTGGAGCACAACACACTTACCCGCAAACAGAGCTAATGAACAGCGGTCTGGAGAACCACATACTTACCTGCAAACAGAGCTAATGATCAGCGATCTGGAGCACCACATACTGACCTGCAAACAGAGCATATGAACAGTGGTTTGGAGAACCACACACTTACCTGCAAACAGAGCTAATGAACAGCGATCTGCTGCAAACAGAGCTAATGAACAGTGGTCTAGAAAACCACACACTTACCTGCAAACAGAGGTAATGACCAGCGTTCTGGTGAACCACACACTTACCTCCAAAAAAAGCTAATGAACAGTGGTCTGGAGCACTACATACTTACCTGCAAACAGAGCTAATGATCAGCGATCTAGAGCACCACATGCTTACCTGCAAATAGAGCTAATGATCAGCGATCTGGAACACCACATAATTACCTGCAAACAGAGCTTATGAACAGTGGTCTGAAGCACCACACACTTACCCGCAAACAGAGCTAATGGACAGCGGTCTAAAAAAAGAGCTATAGAACAATGGTCTGAAGCACCACACACTTACCTGCAAACAGAGCTAAGGAACAGTGGTCTGGAGCACTACATACTTACCTGCAAACAGAGCTAATGAAGAGTGGTCTGGAGCACCACATACTTACCTGCAAACAGAGCTAATGATCAGCGATCTGGAGCACCAAATAAATACCTGCAAACAGAGCTAATGAATAGCGATCTGGAGCACCACATACTTACCTGCAAACAGAACTAATGAACAGTGGTCTGGAGCACCACATACTTACCTGCAAACAGAGCTAAAGATCAGCAATCTAGAGCACCACATACTTACCTGCAAACAGAGCTAATGAACAGTGGTCTGAAGCACCACACACTTACCTGCAAACAGAGCTAATTAACAGTGGTCTGGAGAAACACATACTTACCTGCAAACAGAGCTAATGATCAGCGATCTTGAGTACCACACACTTACCTGCAAACAGAGCTAATAAACAGTGGTCTGGAGCAACACATACTTTCCTGCAAACAGAGCGAATGAACAGTAGACTGGAGCACCGCACACTTACCTGCAAACAGAGCTGATGAACAGTGGTCTGGAGCACCACACACTTAACCGCAAACAGAGCTAATTAACAGTGGTCTGGAGCACCACAAACTTACCTGCAGACAGAGCTAATGATCAGCGATCTTGAGTACCACACACTTACCTGCAAACAGAGCTAATGAACAGTGGTCTGGAGCAAGACATACTTACCTGCAAACAGAGCGAATGAACAGTAGACTGGAGCACCGCACACTTACCTGCAAACAAAGCTGATGAACAGTGGTCTGGAGCACCACACGCTTACCCACAAACAGAGCTAATGATCAGCGGTCTGGATAACCCACACTTACCTGCAAACAGAGCTAATGATCAGCGATCTGGAGCACCACATACTGACCTGCAAACAGAGCATATGAACAGTGGATTGTGGTCTAGAAAACCACACACTTACCTGCAAACAGAGGTAATGACCAGCGTTCTGGGGAACAACACACTTACCTCCAAAAAGAGCTAATGAACAGTGGTCTGGAGCACTACATACTTACCTGCAAACAGAGCTAATGATCAGCGATCTAGAGCACCACATGCTTACCTGCAAATAGAGCTAATGATCAGCGATCTGGAACACCACATAATTACCTGCAAACAGAGCTTATGAACAGTGGTCTGAAGCACCACACACTTACCCGCAAACAGAGCTAATGGACAGCGGTCTAAAAAAAGAGCTATAGAACAGTGGTCTGAAGCACCACACACTTACCTGCAAACAGAGCTAAGGAACAGTGGTCTGGAGCACCAAATAAATACCTGCAAACAGAGCTAATGAACAGCGATCTGGAGCACCACATACTTACCTGCAAACAGAGCTAATGAACAGTGGTATGGAGCACCACATACTTACCTGCAAACAGAGCTAATGATCAGCTATCTAGAGCACCACATACTTACCTGCAAACAGAGCTAATGAACAGTGGTCTGAAGCACCACACAATTACCTGCAAACAGAGCTAATGATCAGCAATCTAGAGCATCACATACTTACCTGCAAACAGAGCTAATGATCAGCGATCTTGAGTACCACACACTTACCTGCAACAGAGCTAATGAACAGTGGTCTGGAGCAACACATACTTACCTGCAAACAGAGCTAATGATCAGCGATCTTGAGTACCACACACTTACCTGCAAACAGAGCTAATGAACAGTGGTCTGGAGCAAGACATACTTACCTGCAAACAGAGCAAATGAACAGTTGACTGGAGCACTGCACACTTACCTGCAAACAAAGCTGATGAACAGTGGTCTGGAGCACCACACACTTACTCACAAACAGAGCTAATGAACAGCGGTCTGGAGAACCACACACTTACCTGCAAACAGAGCTAATGATCAGCGATCTGGAGCACCACATACTTACCTGCAAACAGAGCTAATGAACAGTGGTCTGAAGCACCACAAACTTACCTGCAAACAGAGCTAATAAACAGCGGTCTGGAGCTACACACACTTACCTGTAAACAGAGCTAATGAACAGCAGTCTGAAGAACCACACACTTACCTGCAAACAGAGCTAATGATCAGCGATCTGGAGCAACACATACTTACCTGCAAACAGAGCTAATGATCAGCGATATGGAGCACCGCATACTTACCTGCAAACAGAGCTTATGAATAGTGGTCTGGAGCACCACACACTTACCCGCATACAGAGCTAATGAACAGCGATCTGGAAAACCACACACTTACCTGCAAACATAGCTAATGACCAGCGATCTGAAGAACCACACACTTACCTGCAAACAGAGCGAATGACCAGCGGTCTGGAGAACCACACACTTATCTAAAAACAGAGCGAATGACCAACGGTCTGGAGAACCACACACTTACCTGCAAACAGAGCTAATGACCAGCGGTCTTGAGAACAACACACTTACCTGCAAACAGAGCTAATGACCAGCGGTCTGGAGCACCACACACTTCACATAATGTAGGGGTCTTGAAATAAGTTCCTAAAATTGTAAATAAAAATATGGTGGATTTCTTTTTTTTCTACGAAATATTAAAAAAAACAGTAATTAGAATATTTTTTCGACTGTTATTTTATTGTCTAACTCTATAAGTCTGTTCAAAACATGTACATGCATATGATACTTAGAAAAAAGTAATTATAGAAAGGAATTTTGTATATATGTTCATTACTGACTTCCATTACATTGTTGCAATGGATTCCATGTTTTCTTTTACATTTAACAGATTTATAGTCCAATTCACCATAATATATCATACTGACAACGTTTGTCAAGGTCAACGTATGGTGTTGAAATATAACAGAGGTTTATTTATTTACCTTGTATTTCTTTATCACAAGCGGCATTATTTGGAGAATAAATGTGTCGTTGTAAATTGAAAGTTCAATACTATTTATGTGCCGTCGTGCAATATTAATTGTTATCAACGTGTCAACATCCTCGTCCTTTGGTCTCTACTGGATAGTTATCTCACTGGCAATCATATCACATCTTCTTATGTTCAAATGTATGACTGAGATGCGGTATATGGCCAAAAGCTGTAGTTGCGATGGCGTTTGACCTTTTTTTCCCAAATATTTGCCGTCTCTCATCTCCTAATTCCTCGTTATTTCCTAGTTCAAGTATGTGGTCATCCTGCTGGTAATTGTATTGAACAGATTTTGACAAATTATCTAGATAGGCATTGGCGAGGTATATGTTACTCGTTGTTGTTTGGTCTTTAGTTATACGTCTATTTTTTCAATGATTCGACCATCAGAGGTGGGTGTGGTCTGATTTATTGTCCAATATTTCTGTTTTTCCTGTTTTTGTATTATGTTGTATAGTGAATAAATTTCAGGAGTACTTAATAATTGTCACAATATACTTACTAAAGGGTTTTAAATACAGAACTACAGTTTGACCTGATGGATCAATAGCCATCTCTTTCAGACATCTAAACATTAATCCATGTCCTTGCAAACTAAAAACAAATAACATCAAAACACAAAGGATCAAATCTGAGGGAATCAAGTGACTTCAAAAGATCTTAGACCGAAAACGTCAAAAGAATACTGCTTAGTATACAGCACTCATCATGCAAATTCATACTACGTCTGTTATTCATATTCTTAAGCTGAATCACATGGAAAGTTGAATTTCCTCGAGTAAGAATGTAAAACGGAAATATTGTTTTCTTCTGCACGTTTATAACATAATCAAGTTAAATTAATACATGAACCTACTAGGAGCTAGTGCTTCAATTCGGGCATATTAAAATGTTACATCAAAATTGTTAATTTGAAGTCAAACCAATTATATTTCTACAGAGATATACAAGAAATGTTTATACTTAACATCAAGTATAAATTAAAAAAGCAATCGGTGTAAAATTACAAGCTATGATAAGATATAACAGATTTTGGATAATTAGGTGAGTGATATTAGGACAGGAAACAATACCGGTGTATGTTAAAGTTAATTGTTATTAATTTTAATTCCTTATTCTTGTAAATGAAAGCTGTAATCACATCGGCTCTAAAATGATGAAAATTGACATAAAAAACAATTTTTCTTCGCCAAAATTATTTTCCAACAGTTTCAGAAAATCCAAATTTTTTAAGTTGAGGTACAACATTTCATGCATTTTTCATAAGTATAGCCTTTCTAATAATCATAATTATTAATTACCGTTGAACTTTAAACGGTCCATTCCGTGCAAAACACTCCATCGTTACGCCAATTTCAGGAAAAACCAAAGTAGGATGTTTGCAGTTGAAATGTAAAACACTATTCCTTCCCGGATCGTTAAGTTTGATATATTTCCCAACCTCCTGTCTTCGACAAGGATAGAAACAAAGACCTTCAACTACAACAAATATAGAATATAAGTTTATTTTGATAAAGATATCTTCATCGTTATCTATGTAACAGTTACATAGGATGAAACAAATGATCTACAGGACATATAAAATAAAGAAACACATATGTTATGAAGCTTTTAGCTATGTCGTGTTCGTCGTTCAAATCCATCGCAAACACATAACTACTTAGTTATTTTCATTATAAACTTAATGTGATATTAATGTTCATATATATTTTTCAGGTTGATGTGTGTTTTTAATTATAATCATGTTTGATACATTTTATATAATGATATTGTATGTAGTGATTCGAGGAACATTTTACATTAAAAAGTACCAACCCCCAGAAAACGATGTATTCACCAAATTCATTACTACTAGGTAGTCTTTGTCTGAGGTAGTTGTACAATGTTACTTTAACTTTAGTGAAAAGTAAACTGAGATATAACTTTAGTGAAAATTAAACTTAGATATAACTTAATTGAAAAGTAAACTTGGATATATATAGTGCTGCTAAGAATGTTTACTCAAGTAGTTGGCAAAAATGCCGCCATCTGTAAAAAACAAACTTTTTATCTGTTCTGCTCAAAATACATGTTTTTTTCACAATATGAGATTGCAGAAACCCTATTCTTAAAACTGTGAAAAAGTTTAAAGGTAATAATACACGCGGGATTCATCATTTGGGGGAGATTAAGTGGCGAAACTTTGATATCTTATTATGTGTAGTTACTGTCACCGCGAAAAAAAACTATTTCGACATCTCTTTTTCTCATTTGATTTGTTATTTCATGATAAACATTCAATTTTATATAAATAAAGGACTTATTATTGATATATAGTCAACCCACAAGAAAATAAATAAATAAAAACTTTATCAAATAAAAAGAAATTATTTGATGAAAAGAAAAATTCAGAACAATTCTTTAGTCAAAATTAGAAAACTTTCCTTTGTTTCTTCAAATGCACAGTGCATTGTTCATTGTTCAAATGCATATTCATTTATCTATGAATAAAAAGGAGGATACATTTTTATATATACTGTTATTACATATGTGACTTCCTGAATTTAGATACAATAAAAAAATACGTAATTATAATATTTCGATATGTTGCAGTTACATTGATTTTTTTCAATCTATATTTAGCCTTTCTCTAATTCGAGTTCTCTGTTGATCAATTTTGAAATTTTCAGAGACTAGATACCAACTTTCTCAGGCAAAATAAATCTGAGATTGAAATGGCTAATCTTTTCACATATCTTTTAATCATAATGCTTCTAATGTATTCAAGTTGTAATACATCCTTTGCAATCAGTCTTTTTGCCTTAAGCATTTTCTATGAAGGTAAATGCTTAATTTATAATCATTGTGAAATGGTTGTATGTGAACTGTACCCAATTATTTTCGCTGATTTTTTATTTTGAGTTTTACCTATTTCATTTAACTTCGTAGCGTTTTTGTTTTTGTTGTTGTTTTTTTGGCAACTTTCGTATTTTATTTTCATTTTAGCGAAGATTGAAGTTTTGATTTTTTTTCGCGTGATTTTGTTACTGACAAACTTCTCGTAAGTAAGCTTGGTATAATAAGTCTGTTTAAAGTATTATCATTTCAAAATAAAATGTATTAAAATGGAAAACCCCTAAAACTGCATCCGAAGCATGATAAAATCACAATATCATTCATATTTTAATGCTTTACATGCTAAAATTCTTGATGATGCGAAGATCTCGTTTATACGTAATGATTTTGATATAAATTGACTAATTGATAATTATACATATGAAGACAAGCGAAAAAAAATATAACTTACAAGTTCAGTGTCAGGGCTGATATGAATAATTTGATATTCTGACTATTTAACTTGTCTATCTTGAATACGATACCTTCATTTCCATCTTCATAAGTTGAGTTTGAAATTGTGACATTTCACTAAAGTCTAACAAGCGATGTTGTTGGTGTTCATTACATATTTTATAGACAATGGAAAGACATTTGAAAGAATGAAGGGCTTCATATCCGCGAAGGGCATCCTTACAAATATATATGACATATTAGTTTGTCAGTACCGTTGTGATTTCATTCTTGCATAGAAATTGTATGTACCGTAAACTGTTATTTTAAATATTTTCTTTATTTGAAAAAAGGATGAAGATACCATGACGAAAATCTGAAACCATGAGTCGAAGAAACACAGATAACACCGAGCCCAAATAAAAACAGTCCAAAACACTATACAATAAAACGAAAACGAGCACATCCAAAACAGGGGGTGATCTCAAGTTCTCAGGAAGGTATTCAAACTTTTACAATATTAGTTTTCAGTCTTTTTTTGAGAAACAAATATTAATAATGTAGTAGCAAGCACAATTAACTCGATTGGTGATTTATTTAAACATATTTTATTGTCGAAATAATATTAGACAACAATAATAGGACATAGGCTAAATAACTTAGAAAAGTTTCGTCTTAATAACATAAGTATTTCTTTTTACACAAAATAATTATTGAGTTTTTTTTCTTACCTAGACAGTGAAAGAAAATAACGACACAAAACTTATGTTTAAATGGTCGCACTGCCCACAATTTGAATGTATGGTTTAAAAACTGATGGTGCAAACAGTATTCATTTGAATATTGAACGACATTAAACTTCTTAACACGTCTAACACTTTAAAAAAGAAAAAACAACAGCAGTAGCATTATTTGTAGTTCTTCGATATGCAAAGTACAATTTCGTGTTTCCAAACGCAAGAACATGTAGCCAATTTCTAATCTACGACCGATTTAGGAGCAAGAACATTAACATTATGGCATTTCAACATGTCTTCAAGAGATAATAAGCTGGACTGACAACCTAATTTAACTGTACACAGCTATTATATTTCGTTTCACATTTTAAGGTTGATTATCTGTATACCGCTATATTGGATTGTAAAATAGCAATTATTAATCGGTCTTGTTCTTAGGTAAAATCTGCAAATTTTGAGAAAGATTGGTAATTTATGAGTAAGGATGTTTATTTAAATGAAGGAAAATTATTGATTTACTGCATAGTTTAGACTGTTTTAACAAATACTAAATATCTGTGTTTTTTTCGAATCATTTTTCAACTTAGCCATTCAAGGGGAGATAACTCTTACAGTAAACATTTTATAAAGGAAATCTAAAGAAATTTTCAGTGGTTTTAGTGCTGTTCTTCATGGCAAAGTCACAGTAAGGCATTCAACATGGAGCAAAAAAACACTTCACTGACGGCCCCTAGCTCCGGTTTGAGCGGTATTCTTTGCAAAACAAATTGGATAAACATTGTAAGATATAACACCATCAAATCGGGCCTGTTGAAAAAAAACATACTTGAAAGAAGAACATATTCAAAACAAAATAGTTCATACGCATAGGTGTAAATATCAAACTCGGTAGAATATATTTTGGTAATTTAGGTATCAAATGAAAGTTGAAGGACTGGTGATCCCTGTAGGACACATTTTGACTGATAATTTTGAATAACATAAAAATGTATGAATTAATTCTAAAATTGAGGGCATATATTGCCTGTTTCTCAGATATGAGGTACCTGATTTGGTGTATCCAAAGTTCCTGGAACCAGTACAGTCTGCCATCTCCTATTTTATTTCAAATTCTATCTCATAGATTTCCTTTTATTCACAAAAATGTGTTTTTTTCAGGAAAAATCTGTGCATAAATGGACAATTTTGCACGACTTGTAGCTCGAAAAATAGCACGGTGACCCATACTCTTTATTATATTTTTGAAAAAAAGCACGGTCAAATCTACATTTTTGTAAAGCATAAAAACATTCTATCTGAGGAAATATAAACCGATGATCCACCTTAATTACCATTCTTCATTATGGCAAATTATGTTCTCCCTGACAATCGATTAAAACATAGAAAAAGTAAAAGGATCTCTATTTGTAGATAGTATTTTGGCCGACTGCAAAAGCTCCAATAAAAGGATGTATCCAGAACAATATACATTAATTGTACTATAAAATTATGAAAAAGATTTCCTTGGTCTTTAAATAATAATTTTATTTTATTTTTGGCATATACACATTGATCCCCAACTAATATATAGCTTTTAAATCATTTTTTTATTTTTGAGAAGTTTTTCAAAGGCGTTTTGCTGTTAATATTGTGCAATTAACTTGTTTGTTCGCGTTTGTTTTGGAATTATTGTAGTCTATTCTATGAGGTCATATGATTCAAGAAAAACAAATCATTCCAGAACCTGAAACAAGCTTTTTGTCCAATTCTGTTGAAATTAAGGAATGTTCATTCTTAAACATTGACCTTCATTTCAAGGAAATTGCACCGTTTGAAGTTTTTCCGACTGGGTAAAAAAGAGAGTACAGATAATATGATTTCGAATGATATATAATATAGCCGTATGTTACGTGGGTTCATTAAAGTCGCTAACTAAGATTTTTCTTCTAAAATAAATGATTTACTTTTATGTTCATTTTGTGATTCCACTTATCGATATTAAATAGAGGACATATTGATCATGAAGAAAAACCTTTTTTGACCTCGGACTAAATAATTAGTTTGGTTATGATTTATTATTTGCTTTATTAACGCATATCTTAAGTCTTAAGTATTTGAAAACATTAAATACCATTATGTTAACTATTAATTGTAATGCTGGTTCAAAATTTACCGTCCACTGTAACCAACGGTTGGTATTCATGACTTTCTTCTCATTTTCAGAGGTCTGTTGGTCAGTTCATTATTATCATTTTTATCACATAGGGACACAATGTATGCAAAACACTCTATAATTCTATGCCGATTTAAATTTTCCCCGAACGATTGATTATTCTTATAATCAATGTGTATTTCGCAAGATTTCAGTTCTTCATTTTTCATTTCCTCTGATTTCGATATGTCACGTAAAAACGCGACCATGCCTAATGCCGTCATCGTATCTTGTGTGATATAATTCTTCAATTTTGAGAAGTCTCGCGTTTAAAATTTTGAACA